TCTTTTCTAGAAATAATGACAACTACTGTTGCTATTAGTAGTAGTATTGTAGGCTAATACTTGTGGGCTAAAACTTTGCATCAGCCTGAACTGTAAGGTCGGTGGTTCAAGCTCACCAGCTGCTCCTTGGAAACCCTATACAGGGTCGCTATGGGTTGGAATCGACTTCATGGCACTCAACAACAACAACAACAATGTATAAGGAGCTCTGGTAGCGTAGTGGTTACAAATCAGGCTGCAAACCGCAAGGTCAGCAGTTCGAAACTACCAGCTCTTCCGCGGGAGAAAGATGAGGCTTTCTGCTCCCGTAAAGATTTACAGCCTTGGAAACCCTGTGCAGGTTCACTATGAGTGGGAACCGACTCCACAGCACACAACAACAACAACAACCTCTGCATTCACATGTTTAATTCTCATGCAAATGGAAGTAAAGCTGTTGTTCCCATTGTGAAAGCAGAGGCTCCCAGAGGTTCTGAGACCTGCCCCAGGTCACAGGTAGGCAGGCACCAGTTTCCTGCCATGGCTGATACACCTCCACGTGCTGTGTCCTGTGCCTGAGTTCTCCACAAAGGACCTCTGGACCCGTCCCCGTGAAGTCTGCCCTATGCCACACGAGTCCATGTAGATTCAGTGAGTATCTCACAAACATGTATTAAGGTCTTCAAGCTCCTGGAAATTCTGCCAGACACCAGAGACACCAAGTCTGGTTCCCCGTGGCTCATTTCCTCAGTCTGAGGGGAAATACCAGAGCAAACATTTTTACTTATTTATTGAAAAACACACAAATAAGAGTCACATGTGCATCGACGTGAGGGCAGTGGGCCTCGTGGAAAGTAAGAGGCCCACAGTGGAGAGGGCGAGAGGGAAGAAGGCCTCCTCCCACCCAGGCTTGCTGGAGAGAACTGTTTTTGCAGGTGGAAAAATGACTACATTTCAATCAAGATCAAATTCCACAGGGCCTGCCAGCGCTCCCAAGTGCCCACATGGTACAGAGCCCGGACTTGGCCAACTTCCTACTCAATAACCTATTTCTACACGTCTGTGGGTATTAAAAAAAAATAAAATGCAAGATAAACTCAGCTGAAAGCCAAATGAATGGATTCGTTCCCATTTTAAAGCCATTCGAGGGTGTTTTATAACCCACACTGTGTATCTTTTACACATCTATTTTTAAATACTGCAAACTTAATGATCATGATAGAATATATAAAACCCTTTATGAAATTCCATCTACAAAATTACAGCAAAGTCTAGAGGGTACAGCTGTGCTGCTCTCCAGGCTGCGGCGCACTGATGGAAGGCGGCCCAGGTTGCATTCAATCACCTCTCGTCTGAACAAGGGGTACAAGTGAAATATCACCCTCATCTTCCTCAAGTCTCCTAAATTCTAAACCCACCTCCTCCATGAAAATGCAGGAACTTATAAGTGGTCAAATATAACTTAGTAATGGGCAATCTACAAAAACTGGGATTGGTACAAGTTCCAAAGACCACCCTTCTGTGGGAAAGCCAGGGGCACCTTGAATAACAACGCTTCATGGACCGCCAGAAGAACCAACAGGTCTGCGTTGGAAGAAGAGGAGTCAGGATGCTCCTTGGAAGCCAGGAGAGTGAGACTTCATCTTGAGTACTTGGATCATGTTATCACCAGGGACCAGTCTCCACAGAAGGGCATCATGCTTTCTAAAGTGGAAGGTCAGCGAGAAAGAGGAAGACCCCCAACGAGATGGAATGGTGCTGTAGCAGCAGCAATAGGTCCAGGCGTAACAGTTGTGAGGATGGCACGGGACCAGGCAGGGTTTGGTTCTGTTGTGTATAAGGCTGTTATGAGTTAGAGCCACCTCGACGGCACCTAACAACCATCACCATCAACTGTGAGCCAGGCACTGTGCTGGGCACTTTATATACATTAACTCATACCAACAAGAGCAGGTCAATGAATAATCAAGAGTAAGAAGAATCGAAGCCTTTGACTTACGGTATTGGGGACGAATATTGAATGGACTCTCAGGAAAACGAATACATGTATCTTAGAAGAAGTACAGCCTGAATGTTTCCTAGTGGCAAGGATGGTGGAGACTGTCTCACATGCCTTCCTTGGATATATCCTCAGGAGGGACCAGTCTCTGGAGAAGGACATCATGCTTAGTGACACAGAGGATCAGTTGAAAAAGAGGACGACTCCAACGAGATGGACACACGCAGTGGCTGCAACAGTGGACTCACCGTGGCAGTGGTTTTGAAGACGGTGCAGAAGTGGGCAGTGTTTTCTCCTGGTGTGTGAGATTCAGAACTGACTCACCCTGCCCTGACAAAGCTGTTCAAAGAGCTTCGTTCTAGCTCGCCAGAGCCCTGTGAGCCACTAATGAGTCTCTATCTATTGTCACTGAGGAACCCGAGGCACAGACATGCCAAACTACTTGTCCTAAAGACACAACCAGAAGTGGCAGAGCTGGAGTTTGACCTCAGGCCTGAAACGTACCCTTGGCTAAGGAGAAAGCCCTCTTGGACAAGCACCGGGGAACCTCTTCCTTTGGGAGAAGCAGTGACCAACAGAGGAGTGGCTCAGCTGTCCCATCACGCGGCTTCTTAGGCCTTGTGGTGTTATGGGGGCCATCAAATCAGTTCCAAATCCTAGTGACACATATGACAGCATAGAACTGCCCCACAGGATTGGCTAGAGTGTCATATCTACGAGAGCAGATCACCCAGTCTGTATTCTGCGGATGGTTTAGGACAGCCAACCTTTCAGTGAGCAGCGCATTCTGTCAGCAGACTTTTAACGTACTACTGACCCCATGCCATCCTGACAATGCCTCCAGTGTTGGACCAGAGTGGTGGTCGGTAAGTAAGTTGACAGCACACCTCTTGCTTTTATCATTCAAGATACAACACAATGACACAAGCCTTCCTGGTTTCTTCCTCCTCAAATTCTCACTGAAGGATGAGTGTCCTCGCTCTCAGGAGGTGGACAAACTGTGTGGAAATTGTGAGAGAAGATTCTTCCCAAAGATGCTCAAGGCGGGCGGCGGCAACGGCACCAAAAGAGCCTGGGCCGTGCCACGTGTCAGAGCTGTGATGGCATTTTTTTGCACCATCATTCGACTGAGGAACCCTGCTGATGTAACAGGCAGGGTGTTGGGCTGTTCACGGCAAGATCGCTGGCTTGAATCCACCGGTAGCTCTGTGGGAGAAAGATGAGGCTGTCACCTTGGAAACGCTAATGAGCAGCTCTACTCTGTCCTACGGAGTCAGAATTGACTCGATGGCCATGGGTTTCTTTGGTTCACTTTTGGTTTATCATTCCATTTTACAGATTGGAAAGCTGAGGCTCTAAGAGGCCAAAGTTTCCAAGCTCACCCAGCTGCTCCATGGCAGACATGGGAATTGAACCTGGATCTGCCTGAATCCCACCCCACAAGTTCTCCCACTTCTCCAAGTTCTCTGGAGAGAAGAGTGAGGAAAAAGGTACAGTTGGTGGAGGTTCCCCTCCAGTCGTTCTACCAGGGACTCCAGAGGTGGCAGTGGTGGCGGTGGTGGGGGCACAGTGATGATGGTTTGCATTGGCTCCATCACCTACCACTGCACCAGCCCTGGGGCTGGAGACGGGCCCACTCTCCACACACAGGGGACCCCTGAGAGCAGGCATTACACAAATAACTTCTCTTTCCCCTAAACTTCCCCCTGGTAATTACAGCTGCTGAGACAGCATGCCAGCATGTCTGTAATGTTTAGGTCCACAAAGGAAAGAGAATGTATAACAAAATCATTAGTTCTTCTCCTGCCACATTTCTGAACATGCCTAGTCCTGACATTGGGAGTCACCTGGCAAAGGAAACGTCACCCAGAGAAAGGATGCCAACCAGAGGAAACCAACCTACTGCCACACAGTCAATTTCCAACAACCCCGTAAGACAGAACACAGCTGCTCCCTGGGGTTCCCAAGGCGACACATTTTTCCTGAAGCAGACAGCTTCATCATTCTCCCACAGGGCGGTCGGTGGGTTTGAACTGCTGACCCTGACATTAGCAGCCCGACACTTAACCTAATGTGACACCAGGGCTGCTTGAAATAGTGACAAGGAATTGGGAACAAGGGAGCCAGATGAGCTCAACACATCTTCTTTGCAATGCAGACCAGAGACCCTGACTAACTGCAGGTCTTGCAGAAACTGCTGTTAATATCAGTAAGTTAGAATTAACCAAATACCAACATTAAAGCCAGTTAATTTATTTTACAATACTTGAAGCCAGGAAAATACAATGGAAACAAAGAAATGCATTCCTTCTGGCCTAAGTTGCAAGACAACTGGCATGCGATCCTGAGTGATAAGTAATAAGATCAGGGACCAGCGAGACGAGAGATCTTGGGTCCTGTCCCCACCACTCACTGACTGAGTAGTCCTCAGTTTTCTCATGTGTTTAATGGGAGCTAGCTATTCCTGTCTCCCAGCATCCTTCAGATGGGTGGTGTTGTCACTGGAGAACACCATGTGGTTCAAAACACTCCTTCACAACTTGTCAGAGGTGGGAAAGGTTTCCTTAGCTGAGAACAGATTCACAGGAGCTGTATTGAGAAGGGATCTGAGGTTACCTCTAAGGTCCGAGAGATGGAGCTCTGAGATCAACTAGCAATGTCTGCTGTGCACAAGGCATGGGGGACTCAGATTGAATAAATGATGTATGACCACCCCCAATAAAAAACAACAAATAACCACCCTTCCAAAAGTCTGAGGCTCTTTTCTCCCTAACCATCTCCAGAGTTGAAACCTTTGGGAACGGGTTCTGGCCGTTGGCAGTTCTTGACAGGAAATGTTCTCTAAACAGGTTGAATTCTTGCGAATTTTCCAAGGAAGGCCCAGATTCCAGGCGCACAGGGGACGAGTTGTGCCTCCTTTCTCTGTCCCCCAGCCTGGCACACAGGCGGCCCATATGACCAGCCCTCCGAGTTCCTGCTGTTCACACAGAGGGGCCCAACGCAGGGTTTCCCATCCGCCTGAGGTTGGGTTGGGGCCATGGACCTGGGAATCACAAGCCTGTGGGACATTCCAGTTCCCCAGGCTTGGGGAGGGGGTGGGGGTACCAGCCATCCCCCAGATGGCTCAGGTCTCCCTTCAGGCCCGGCACCGCCCCCAGGCCCCATCTGAGCCCTGATCACCCAGGCCTGCGGGACCCGTGGTTGTCTGCCTGTGTTTGTTTGAAACTGGACTTGGCAGTCAAGATTTCGGAATGTGCACGGAGCGGCACGTGAGCTCAGTTCTGCAGAGCTCTTGTGGCTGACAGCCCACTTGGGGGACCAGGAGCCCTCGGATAGTCCCACCCTGACCTTTAATCTGCAGTGGGGGGCCATGGTATCCTGATTTCACTGCAACTTTGTCCACAGGAAAGCTACCTTCTCCTTACAGCTTCAGCAGTGACCCCACTGAGTGAGTACTTGCCTCAGGGTCATGGTGGGCGCCATGGCAGGGGGTGGGGTCTGCTTGGGGGTTACCACCGAGAGGCTATGCCCAGCATGAAGGGCTTGGGGGCCCCGAGTACCGGTTATTGACTTCTTAGGACCACTGCCTGAGTGTCTGCCCAAAGAGGTCCCCAAATGTCCCAACACTTCTGCACTGCCTCAATGCAAACACTGGCCACCTTCCCGCCGTCCACACTGCATCCTCACCCCTCACACTTGGGCTGGGCTGTGGCCTTAACAAGCAGAATACAGAGGAAGTGGCATGTGTGGTCTTCTGAGTCCAGGACCAGGGCCACCCGGCAGCCTCCACACCCGCTCTGAGAGCCCTCCATTAAGCTCAGCCACAGCCCACCCGTGCTCTCTGGGAACCTTGAGCCAGTGAACAGCCCTAGAGGCCCACAACCACTGCGAGCCAATAGAGACCATTGCTTTACGCCTCTATGGTTGGGCTCATTTGCTCTGCAGCACCGTTGTTGGTCAGTGCTGGCAGGTCCATCCTGACTCCCAGCAACCCTATAGGGGCTTCTGAGGAGTGGCCACAAGGACTCTATGTGGCACTGGATGCCCAGACGGTACCTGGTGTGCATTTCTGCCTCCATCATTGCCACGTGCCCACTAAGCACCCCGAGCTGTGCAGCCTCAGAGCGCCCTTTTTGGCCATCTGTCCCACTCTCAGCCCCAGCACCATCTCACGGGAAAACCTCTTTGGCCTGGAGCCCTGGATCCATTTGGCAGCCGGGAGGTTTCTTGGGCAGCACCGTTGCTGGGGAACCTGGGGAACTGGCTTTCCTCACTGCCTACCCTCGTGTTTCACACACTCCTGTGCCCACCACAGTTTCCTCAGAGAAGTGCAGGCATCATATCATATTTATGGGCTGTATTCCTGACACTACTACTGGAACTAGAAAGAAATCTGCTTCTGTTTCCCAGGCTGCAAAGTCCTTTTCCATGCTTCTGTCTGTGGTATGAAATTGCCCAGACTGAGGGAGATGATTGTTCAAAACAAAAGTGTCCAGTGTGGCCAGTCAGCCCACAGAGGGTAGACCTTGACTCCCACTGAGCAGCCCAGCTCCCTGCTCCCCAGCCCCATAAGGGGGATGGAAGCCAAGGTGAGCCGGGAGAAGCAGGTCATGACCCACACCCTTCGTGTCTCCCTCTGGCCCCCTTTACTGTGCACATCATTCGAGGCTCTGCTCAATGCCTGCCTCCTTCAGGACCCCCTCAGGAGTGCTCCCTCTACACTCTCACATCTTGGTGGGTGCCCCAGTGGGACCCTAATCCCTCATCTCTCCGTCAGTCTTGTCGTCACAGCTGTCTACTACACTCTCCCGTTCTTCATCTTACACCACCACATATTCACAACTCAGACACGGCGCCTGGTGCGCTCTGTGGGTGATCTCAGCTCATAGCAGATGCAGCAATATCCCCATTTTACAGAGAAGAGACTGAGGCTCTGAAAAGGCCTAGCTGGCAAGTGAGTCCAGGAGGCTATATTGACATCCATGAAATTAACCCACGCCTGTATTGTCATCCACCTCTTAAGTGTGTGAAAGTTTAATGATGAAAAAGGAAGACCAAAGAACTGGCGTGTTTGAATGATGGCGTTGACAAACAATACTGAATATGCCAGGAAATGCCCTATTAATACACAAATTTGTCTCAGAAAAAGTACAGCCAGAATGCTTCTTGGAAGCGAGGCAGGCAAGAATTTCTCTCACGTACTTCACACATGTCCTGGAAAATGACATCACCCTTGGTAAAGAAGAGGTTCTGCAAAAAAAGAGGAAAACCGTCAACAAGATGGACTGACACCGTGGCAGCAGCAATGCGCTGAAGCCTAGTAAGAATCGCTTTGGTTGTGCACAAGGTCACTATGCGTCAGAGCTCCCGTGATGACACCTAACAGCAATGATGGTCTTTAGAAACAACTCATTGTCATCATAGACCAAGAGGAAGAGAGTGGAGGCGCAAACCCCAACTTCAGCCTGCAAGTGAGCAACAGAGAAAATGACAGCTCGTTTTCAAAGGTGATGCTCACGTGGGAAGAGACGTGTTGAGGCAGATATATTTCTCCATTGCTCATGGCAGTCAGAGTGTACACAAACATAGGTTCATGAATTGCAAACACAGTCAAAAGATTTTATTTATTCAATCACTTCTCTGACAGAAACATCTCTTGGTGGTGAGCAAAAGGTGGGTGGGAGACTTATGAGGGATGTTTGTGGCTGCATCACGTCTCCCAATAAACACTCGGAACCAGTGGGGTTGCTGTGTGAAAATATGGTTTCCTTCCTCTTTCCTTTTTCTGTATCTTTCAAACTCTTCAAAAAATTTTAATGAAATGATCAGGAAATGGGAGCATTGTGACTTTCACGGCAATATGGGGACACAGGTGAAGATTTCTAGACTGTTAGTCAAGGACGAATGGAATCAGTTTGTGGGCGAGCATTCTGGCTACTCAATTTCTAGGCCAGCAGTTCTCCTTCTAGGAATTCATCCTACATAAAGCCCTGCACACATGAGGATATGCATGGAAGAACAGCTTGTCATAGCAAAAGACTAAACTCGGCCTCAAAGGCTCACTCGGAAGGACTGGCTAAATAAACTATGGTACATCCATACAAAAGAATACTGTTTAGTTAAAAAGAAAGAGAAAAGAGATGTAAGATGAAAAACCAGATGGGGTCCACCGCAGAATGAAAAGGCAAGTTGAAGACCTGTGTGGATAATGGGCTACACAGACCTGTGATTGTTTACAAAGACCCTGGGAAGTCCAGAACCCTGCCAGTGCCGAGCTAGCTGGTGCACAAGCTGGAAGAATGAAATAGTTTCTGTTTTACTTAGCTTTATATTGCTAGGAATACTACCAAGAGTGGTACCTTTCAGGCACATGAACATAGTCTTTCTTTACTTTGTTTTGAAAAAAATTCAACCATATGAAACAAATGGAAAACCCAGTACAATGAACCCAATATACCCACCAGCCAAGCTGCAAGCCTTCAAAAATTCACTCAAGTCCTTTCTAAGTCTACCCATCCATACGATCTCGACGTGAATGCTAGGCCCCTTATCAATCCATCCGCAAATAATTCACCATACATCATGAAAAGGGCTCTTTTTTTTTTTTTTTTTTTTAACAAAGCCACAATATCATTTCCACATCTACAAAATGAGAATTTGTTAATGCCGTCAAATATCAATTCAGTGTTAATTCTCTAATTTCCCATAGTCTTCTGTGACTCCACCCCCACAGCCACCAGTGATTGGTCCAGGGGAGCCCGCCTGAGCCACTATGACCCAATCAGAACCTTCGCTGAGCTATTCCACAGGCAATAGCCAAGTCTGCCCCCGTGTGGAAAGAGAGGGAAGGGCACAGAAAGAGACGGATGGGGATGTCTCATGAGTCCCAGGTCCGCTCCTGCCTTGCTTTGGTTTGGATTCCAATCCTTGCAATAAAGTCCCATTTTTGCCACGTTTCATAGGGCAGGGGCACATTACCCGAAGTGAGGGTAGGAAGGGGCCCAGCAGCTTGTAAATGCGAGCTGTGTTGGAAAACCCCTCCTGCTCCTGTATTTGTTTGGATGGGAGGGTGGGGGGCACGTCTTAACCCCAACCCACCCAACACCTGTTGTGGAACACTGACCCCATTGCAGAGTCTGGATTTACGCGGACTCTGTATAACACCTTGTAAAGAGGGCCGCGGGTGCAGGAGATTAAAGCCCGCCATGAAGTGAGTTGTTTTATTTCTTCTGAGACCCGGGGAATGCTGAGGACAAGTGACGGCCGTGCTGAGTTATTTACCTCCGTTACCAGGGGCCCTACCTTTCCCTCAGCCCGGACTGGTTTATAAGGTGCAAATGTTGAGGGGGAGCCAGGCCGGGCTGGAGGGAGGCATGGGGTAGTCACGGGGCTGAATGGAAAGTTAGCATCAATAAAACCTCGGGAGCCTGTCCTGGCTCCTAGCCTCATGGGACCACGAGATGGGGACCAGAGTTGGGAGGGAGAGGAGGAAGGGGAGGACGGCCCTTCAGGATGCGGTCATCCCACTTAAGGGCCGTGGGTTCTGGCCCGCCTTTCCTCCTGTTCCCTGGTGGGCTGGCTGAAGGCAGCTAATGGATCTTGGTGAAGCCCCTAAAAGTTGCAGGGGACAGAAAATTATGGAATTTGCTTGAGCCAAAAAGAGGGATTTGGTGTCAGGTGACATGGGTCTATCTTGGGACATTCAAGTCTCAAAGAGGGCTGTAGCCAAGAAATTAAAGTAGCCACTCCAATCTCTCTGTCCCTTTTTCTCCCTCTTTCTTCCTCTTTCTCTTTCCCTCCTCTGCCTGTCTCTCCGTTTCTTCCCCCCTGTCTCTAACCCCCTCTCTCTTTCTTCTCTCCCCTCGATCCTCTTCCCTCTCTCCCTCCCTCATGGTCACACAGGTTTCTCATGTTTTTAATGTGTCTTCTTCTGTCTCTCCCTGACCCGACCCTCCTGCCCCACCTGCCCTCTGACGAGGCACCCTCTGGCTTTCTGTGCATAGAATAAGACTACCCCAGGGTTCGCAAGCACTCCGATGCCCCACAGAGCAGTACCTCTGAAGCTCAGGTTTCTGACCCATCCAGCCACCCAGGTACCACTTCCTCATAGGCTGATGGGAAGTCAACAGTCTGGCAAACATCGTAAAAATGAAGAACTAAAACTTATCAGTCGGTAAGAGTAAATGACAAAAATGCGTGGAATTTTTTTTTCATTTACAAAACATATAGAGAATGTTGTTGTTGTTGTTAAGTGCTGTCAAGTCAGTTCCGACTCATACCGACCTTGGATAGGGTTTCCAAGGAGCAACTGGTGGGTTTGAACCACCTATCTTGTGGTTAACAGTCCAGTGCTTATCCTACAGGGATACCACTACTATCCACATGCTAGTTGAAAGTACACCAAAGAAAGTCTCTTGTTGAAGGTCATTACCAAGGGCAAGCCGTTCCCTGAGCCCCTCACCCCCACTGCTGGCCTTGACTTTTAGAACAATCAGCTCAGTCTGCACAGTGATACTTATCCTAAGCCAAAACTACGCACCACCATCCAGCCGATTCTGACCCAGAGCTGACCCTACAGGACAAACTAGAACTGAG